AAGTGCTTCAAATCTTTTTTAACGTTTTCTAATTACAAAATATTTTTTTGACGAATTTAATAATTTTTTCCTATCATGGTCAGTTTTATTATATACCTTTGTATCATTCAAGAATATAGCATTGTACATATATTATATTAAATAATTTTTACAATATTTCCAATAATAGCAAATTAAAATGAAATATTATAAGTGAAAATAGATGCTTGCTAAAAATAATAAAATTTTTTATTTCTGTTATACTTGTTTTTGTTAATTATTTTTAAATAAAAATCAAAAATATATACCCAACATATTGATTAATTTAAGCAAAATTAAAGATAAAAATTCAATTCTATCTCTAAAAAATGTTAAATCTCTTAAAATTTAATTTAAATAATTCTTTAAAATTATTAAGCATAGTTAAATTAATTGCATAGTTTCATTTGTCAAATTGATATATATATATATAATGGAAATTATAAATTTTCTCATTGATAAAAAATATAATATAATAGAAGTGTATAATAATTCTAATTGATTTTTAATATTATATTAGAAAAATTACTATTGGTGATAGAGGAATAATTCAAAAAGTTTAAGTTTTTTATTTAAGAGTTATCAGACTGTTGGCTGAAAGATTAACGAAACATTATTATTTGAAATAAAATATTTGAAATAAAAAAAAATATACAGATTAACTTCAAAATATTTAATTTTATATTTTGTCAATATCAGGTACATATATCTAACACTATTATGTGATATTATCTGACTCTCTTATGTCCTCAATGTTTCATCATTTTTTGAATTACATGTTATAATAAAATGTTAAAATCAAATAATTTTTAATTTAAAAAATCATGAAAATCTCTACTTTATAAACGTAGTAAATATTTATTTATACCTATTATAATATATTATACCTATTATAATAGAATTCTAAAAGTTTAGAATAAAATTATTGAAAAATGATAAAAATCAATGTATTTTTCAAATCTATAATGAATCTTTTAATAATCTTTTAATAACATTATTCTGATTAAAACGAGACTAAATATGTTATCACTGATTTATATGTAATTAATTCATTTATAGTTATGAAATAAATATTGTTGCTGACCTTACAATGTATATTATTTTATATTATTTATATTGTTTTATAAAATATTTTATCTAAAATCTTTTTAAAAAATTCTTTTTTTTGTTTTTATGTAAACTGTTTACAAGCTATCTATTATTTATTTTCACAAACAATTGTGAAAACAATTGTGAATTACTTTCAATTAGCAATTTTTTTCGTCTTTCTTATCTAAAAATATCATGAAAAGTTTGATTATTGAAAGAATGAAAAAAAATAAAATAATAGTAGAACTTAGAAATAAAAATAGGGAATAATAAATATTCTATTGTATTGTATAAATAACATCTCTGTTAATATAATAAAAATATTATTATTATTTCTTAATTATATTTTCGTCGTAGTTAGAGTGTTTTTTCGCGGTTTATTATATAATTCAATAAAAAAATTTCCTTTTTTAAATGAACGATTATATTAATTTTTTGTTATTTAAATATATTAAATCTAATAATCTTTATTTTATTTGAAACTTTTTCTTTTTGATAAAATTCTTGTTATTAGCAAGATTGTTATCAATTATCGATTACCGTACGATTAATAACAAAAACAATTCTTATCACAATTCTTATCATAATATTTATTATTTATAATCAAAATATTTTGCATTATTATATTATTATACATTGTTATGTATAATAATGATTATTAATTATATTTTTTATAATTGCAATTGTAACAGTTTCTGATACTAACAGTATACTATAGTTTGAAATAAGACATAAAAATTACAAGAATTTTCTCTATTAAGAAAAATTATTATTAAAAATAGAAATTTTTTTTATTTTTCTTGCATATAATATATTATTTAAATATATTATTTTTGCAGTTACTAACGACAATTATCATTTTAATAAAAGTTTAATTGCAAAAAAAAATAAAGTAAGAGATAAAAACGATTATGTACCCCAATTATAATGTTCTAACTAATGAATTGCAAAAACATATTGATATCTAATGAAAGTATTTTTTTTAACATTTTCTAAATTCGATAATATTAAGTTTTGATGATATTTATCGATAAAAATTAATTTATATTTATTAATTTCTAAATTTATCCATATTTTTTTAACAATAAATTTTATTTCCGAACCAAAACAATTCAAATTTTGATTCATCGGTGAAATAAACTCTACTATTCTTTTAAACAATCGATATTATTGTTAAAAAAAATTATAGCTTCATTATAATTTGGGCAGAAATGATCATAAATCGCTAAATTCAATTTATCATATAAATGGAATCATAAATCAATATATTTATAATTGATATAGTTGATATTTTAAATAATTATTTATTGTCTTATGCGAATAATATATCTTAGAATTAGATTCTTCACATTGATATAAATAAAAAATATATTTGATGGCAATTATGTACATTTATGTATCATTTATGTACATGATAAAGATAGAAATCATGTCGAAACAACTGCTATTATTGAGTGATGCCATCATGCGTTTTATCTCGCTTCTATAATGAAAATAAAAATGATATTTTATGTTTTCTTGATGCTTTCGCTAAAAAAAAATTGCTTTATCGCATAGTATGATTAAATTTTTTCTTAAATTTTTTAAAATAAATAAAAAAATATGAACAAAAATGTATTCGATCTCCATTCAACTTTGATTATTTTATATTATTTTTTTAATATATTTAGATATTTATAACTTAACAGTTATTTGTATCTTATTATTTATATCTTATTCGGAGAATTGATAGAATCATTTCATATTCAAAACCATTCAAAAACAAATTAAATAACTATTATTAAAAGTACAAAACATTTCTAAAGTTGAAAAATTGCGATCTTTTTTTAAAAATGATTTTTTCAAAGATAATGGCTTTTAGAAGAAAATGATTTACATATTCAGCACATTAAAATCTTTAAATATCTAAATTGAAAATTATAAAAAAAGAAAAAAAATTAAAATTTGTTGAACAATGTGATATTATTTTGAAGTATGAGGCATTATATATTACCATTATTGATTATTAATTTCTTAATAATTATAATTCATTATTATAATCTTATTATATTAATAATATAATTATTATAATCTATTTGAATAAGTTTAAAACATTAATTTTTATTTAAATAAGTTCAATGTATTAATTCTTATTTGCAATATATTGAATTCATTAAAAAGGATTTATAATTAGAACAGCAATACTTATATATTCAAAATATAGATTTTTTTCAAAATATATTGCAAAATATAAATTATATCGTAATTATACATACATTACTTTTTATATCTCTCATTCTTATTTGTTGACTGTTATTTTGAAGTATGAGGCATTATATTTCAAACCTATTTTTATGAATGTATCGAATTTATTAGAAATAACCAATCAAATTTAAATTTCTTTTCCTAACCAAGTTGTCATCTCTACCGATAACATCAATATGTTGGGGAAAAATTCAAGAAAGCATGCTAATTGATTTTTCTCTCAAATTTTATTTTTTAATTTATAATCAATGTGTTTTTCAAATCATTAAGAACGCGCTTCTTTATGCACTTAATATCTACATTTTAGAGTAGGTGAGATTAATCATTACGAAATAAGAAATAAAATAAATAAAATAAAAGAAAATAAATAATTGGTTAGATTAGTGTTAAAAAAAATCATGAAATTAAACCTCTATTTTCTTATTATATAAATATATAATTTTATATATTATATAATATATCTATTTATATAATTTTATAATATGAAGAAATAATGCATGCATAAATAATGCATGCTATAATGGAAACAAATCATCCATTTGATAAATTTGATAAATTATCAATCAAAATTTTTTATTCGGATGTAAAATCTGTAACATCAATGAAATATTGTTATAAATATTATTGAAACATTTAATATCGTGATTACTTTATTATTTTTTTACGTGATGTTTTATGTTTAAAATTACAGAATTATTTATTTAAATTATTCTTATTCTAATAATTCTTTATCTTAGATATAATTAGATAAAATCTTAGATAAAATTAGATATAATTAAACGTGTTTCAATGTATCTTTGACGAGATAATAGATATTAATAATAATTACATATTGTTTGTATTAAACACAATAATCTTTCGATCAATTTCCTTATTGTATTTATAGTAATTTTTTCTATAAGTATTTTCTTATAGTTTTCTATAAGTATTTATTTTATATAAAATAATTTTTATTGTGCTACGATATTTATATATATATATATATATATATACATAATATTAATAATTACAGAAGAAAAAATGATTGTAAATCTTTTTTTTTTATGAAATTTAAATTACATTTTGTAGAGAATAAAAAAAATAGAATGTTTATAGAGAATAAGAAAAAAGTAAAATAATATATTTTTTTAGATGATATAAAATAGAAAAATATATAATAATTTCATATATGAAATAAAAATAAATTTTATTATATAAAAATTATTTAAGATTAAACATTAAATATAAACTTCTTTTATATTTATATAAACCTAATTAATCATTATGAATTTGTTATAATATTTTAATATTATAATATTTTAATATTTTAATATTTTATATTAAATTTTTATATAAATTATAAATTTTATTGCATAAAATTATGTATTATTATATTATCTCAATAATTATTTATTTTTTCTATGTATATTTTATTATTATATTTATTATTATTATATTTTATTATTATATTTATTATTATTATATTTTATTATTATATTTAATTATTATTAATTTCCTTAAAAACAAATTAATTATTAAATTTAAATATAATTATTTTGTTTAAATAATATAAAAAATTTTTTTAATTTTGAAATATTCATGAATATTATTACAATATATAATTACTTATAGAATCATATTATTTAGGATTTTACATTATGATCTTTCAGATAACTAGAATTTTGAAAAGACATGCCGTTGAGATGCAGAAAATAACTGATATAAAAATAATACCTACAATATACAATCTTTACGATGCCCGATGCTTCATCTTCAAATTTTTTGTTATGAAACTTAAGGTCTAATGCTTCTCGTACACATACATGAAATATGTAATTAAATAATATTACAACTTCTCAGAATGTTGATGTGTCAATTTAGAAGTTTTGTCTACGAGAGGTTATAGTATATGGAACTTGTTAAATTTTTTATCTTTTAAATTTTTAAAAGAAATTCTCAACAATTGTTTTTTTCTTCTTTCTAGGTCAATTGGCAGCAGAGACGGAAAGAAGTATCTTTTTTTTAACTTCAAATTAACCGAAAAGAAAAAAATATATCAAGATGAACAAATTATCTTACATGGAAGTGGTCACAGTACCTAATTACTCTTATGTATTTAATTTTGAAGAAAATTTCATTCATACAGAAACTAAAGTATGGATGACGAAGAATTGGACGAACTGTTTCTATTATTGTGGCATTTACATGATCCTAATTTTTGGCGGAAAGCATTATATGTCAACTAGACCAAGGTTTGAACTCAGGGGCGTACTTGCTTTATGGAACACATTGCTTGCATCGTTCTCCATTATTGGATTGACTAGAACATTACCAGAATTGGTCCACGTGTTAAAACATTATGGGTTTTACCATAGTGTTTGTATACCTAGGTAATTTCATTTTTATATTTTATACTTTAAAATATTTTTAATTGATCATAATAAAATTTAAAAATTTATTATAATTAAATATTAATACAATTCTGTCATATTTGATATTTTTAAAATTATTATTTATATAAAGAGTAATTTTTTGATTATAATAATATTTGTTCGTCAATTTTTATTTTATGAAACTATAAAATTAATATTATACATGTAATAATTTTTTACATTGATTCAATAGAATTGTTCTTTTGAATATATCATTTGCAAGTTATATTCAAAAAGTATAATAATAATTCTATGGTAAATACTACAATAAAAAAAAAATAAAAGCATAATTATTTTCTTACAGCTTTATTGAACAAGATGTTGTGTCTGGTTTTTGGACATGGATGTTTGTTCTATCAAAACTTCCGGAGCTTGGTGATACAATCTTTATAGTATTACGAAAACAAGAATTAATTTTTCTACATTGGTATCATCACATAACAGTTCTTCTTTACTCATGGTTTTCATATTCAGAATACACAGCATCCGCGAGATGGTTCGTTGTAATGAACTTTTTTATTCATTCCATAATGTATAGTTATTATGCTTTGAAAGCAATGCAATACAGACCACCAAAAATATGCGCCATGTTAATCACTGTGCTACAGATAACACAAATGTTCATTGGTTGCATTATAAATATTTCGGCTCACCAGTATCTGGAGAACCAAATTGAATGTCATATTTCACGTTTAAATGTTAAACTTAGTTTGCTTATGTACTTCAGCTATTTCATTCTCTTCTGTAGATTCTTCCAAAGATCTTATATTAACAAAGGTGGTAAATTCCAAAAGAAGGGCTTCACTAATGGAACAGTGGAATATGACAAGCTCAAGGCTAATTAAAGCACACCAAAATATTTTGGAAACTTTTTCTAGAAACGCATTCCAGTGGCATTTCTTGAAAACATTTTCTAAGAATCTTTTTAAAGTTATGGAGCTGTATTTCAAGAAATATCCTTTGGAAATTTTTTTAGAAGTCTTTGTTAATTCAAAGTCGTAAAATTGGTTGTGGTAGAATGAAATCACAAGATAGAATGGAAAAACACTTACTTAAATACAGCACATTGAATTTTATGATAATATTAAATGTTGCACACTGAATTTGGTAGTAATAGTAATAAATTTCATAATAACTTGTTTAACGTGTTTGACGTTACATACGTTATCAACGAGTTAATAGGAAGCTTTTTAGAAGCAATTCTTAAAACTACTTTTTTCTCTAGAAATGATTTCTGAAGAAATTTCTGAACTTTTTTTGTGATACTTCTTTATGAAATTTATGTGTCACAAAAATAATGGTAGAACGAGAATGGAGACGTAATATTTAAGAACTTAGAATATTGTATAAATATATTATTTAGTATTGAACTATTTACTAATAAAAAAAAATTAATTATAATGGAAAATTTGTCAATATGCTTAATATATTTTTATTATCAATATGTTTGACATATTTATTGTTGTGCATATGGAAATGTATAAATATGTTAAAATATGATAAAAATATATGTATAATAATTTGCTTACATAAAATAAAAATGATATTAAAAGTTTTTAAGTAAAATTAATAGTATATAATATATTATCGTACAAAAAAAAAGGAAATTGTTTCCAAATCTCGTTCTACTAAAATAAAAATGAAAAAAGAGGCAAAAAAAAAAATTGCTTTTAAAAAATCAGAAAATGTGAAAAAATTAAAAATTTCATTAGGCCTACCATCAAAATCAAGTCATTATATATTCTTTATAGAAAATAGTAAAAGAAAATAATAATCGAAGAATGAAATTGCAATTTAAATTCATGACTATTTAAAAAAAAACGAAAAACAATAATAAAAAAAAAGATAGGGTTTATATTTACTATTTTTTGTTATTAGAAATAAAAAAACGAGCTGCTTGTTGCTATTTTTTAATTTTCAGAGTGCAATCAACCTTGCAAAGACATTTATAAATTTATTATACATTATTACGGATCAAGCTAAACAAATATCATTTAAATTAAATTTATTTATTTAAATAATTAATAAAAATTTATATTTAAATTTTTATGTGTTATAATATATTAAATAAAATAAAAAAAACATTAAAAATATATTGCATAGAGTTGCATTTTCAAATCAAACTAATTAAATTTTTGTTAATGTAGACAAAAAAAGTTATTACTAACTAGAAATAATATCTATATAAATAAGAAACAAATCAAATAATAATTATAAAAAGAAAATTTATGTTCAAGTATTGAAAAAAATTTATAATACTTCATAAACTGTTAAATAGATATATTTATAAGGATGGTTGTTCTCTGAAACATCAACTGACCGATTCTAGTCGTATGGTCAGGACGAGGAATGAAATTTGTTTACTGGAATGAAAATTAAAACATGATTCATGATTCATATTATAAAATAATTATTCACGCCGCTGATCGACGCGCACTTTCATACAAAATTTATTAAATGCCTTCCTTTTCAAATTTTATATTCGACTGGATCTTTTTTTTTTTTTTTTTTTTTTTTTTTTTTTTTTTTTTTTTTTTTTTTTTTTTTTTAATTCCTTTCAACTCGCACAAATATTGCCAATAAAAATTTGAAAATTCACTCCGCCTAAATAACAGTGATTTGTTCATAAATTCTTTAATTTATTATCTAATTTAGAAACAATGATAAATATAGTTTTAAATGTTTATACAATTTTTTTAGTAAGTATTTAATTCATACAAAACTATAATAATTATTCCAGTTTGTGCATGTTATTTATTTTCTTCTACTTATTTAATTAAGAGTTTATTAATAATATCAAAGAGAAAAAATCAATTCAATGAAAGACAATATTTGATTTAACAGAAAATATTGCTAAAATATTTTTATGCTCGAATCGAGTTTAAATAGTTCCATTTGTTTATTTATTTAACACAATAATATTAATACAATAGCAATTATACTGGTCGAACGGTGCGTGTTTCATTTGGTTGATAAAAAGAATTTAATTATTCTCATATTAGGTATTTATATTATTTACGAACTAAGTTGTAAAAAGTATTTGCAATTTTATTTTCATTCAATAATGAAAATATATCTTTTAATTAAATTTTTATAGAATCAAATGTACATTATCATAAATTTTGTTTAAAAAAAAATAATTATAATATCTTTTTATTTTCACTTAGAAAAAAAAAACACCATTTAGCTTAATATCATATATTTATATATCTGAATTTATTATTGATTTCATGATTTCATTTTATTGATTGAAAACAATGATTGCAAGTACTTGTATGCGAGAAGATTTTCCTAAATCTCGATTAAGCAACTGATCACTGCTCTTTTGTGCTATGTCATAATCAATTACTAATTAAGGGATTAGTTAATTGAGTGCTGCTTTATACACCAATAATGGTGCAATAGAATTAAATATACAATTAATTTTTTCATAGATTTTTCATAGAAGAATTAAAGAAAAAACTAAAATTACTGAAAACGGAAAGCCTCGAAATATTTATATAGATAATGTTACGATTAAGCGCTACATTTACTATGTCATTGAAATACAGTCATTCTTAAACTTAAGTGCTAATTGGCTTCGAAATAATCGGCCCGAAGTAAATTGAGCAGTTATAATGCATATATATTGTAACATTTAATTATTTATACGCGTGTATAAACATACATGTATATTAATATATATTAACATTTTTTACTAATTACTAACGAATGATTATCGCGCTGCTATTAAAAATGACTTAAGTGTGAAGAATGACTGTACTTGCTGCTGAATTATCGCTGTTAAATGGCGATAATCGTGTAACATTTTAGTGAAATTTTTTTAAAGAGAAATGAGTGATAGTTTTTTAGGGAATAAACCACAGAGAATAAACGCGTATAGAAATGTACAATGCTGTTCGATCAAAATAAATCGAGCTACGATTTTGAAGCTTAAGAAAGATATGCATTTCAAAGTGAAAGAATGTTTACAATGAAAAATACAATGATTCGTTCAAATATAAGAAAAACTCTATCAACAACGAAATATGAAATACAGAAAACAAAACAAAATAAAAAAGAATTTGCGTGTTTTATTGATATATATTATTTTACAAAAATTGTATTAAAAGAATTTCAGTGAATAGTTATCTTCTGCGATTAAGTTAGAATTAAAATCAATAAAAGAACAATAAAGAATCGATAATTTTTTTATTATTTAGTTTGATTTTTTTTTTTGTAAGTAGTATAATTTAATATACATATACAAGAATAATAAATAAAATGGAAGCAACACATTAAAGTAAAAAAAAAGAGAAAAGAAAAGCTGTATGTTGTGTGTGTGTGAAAGAGGAATAAAATAAGCATGGAAAATTGTATAATTTCATAGTGTAAAATTTCTTTTGTTATTATCTATGCTTTTTTCTTTATTATACATGAATATTGTACATTAACAATAATAATAATAATTTATGACGGGAGGTATAAAAAAAAGTTTATTTTTAATTGTCGAAAGGTTAAATTAAATTTTAGACTTTCAAATTTCCTATCCTATTTATTTCAATTATTACAATTCAAATAAAAGATAAACTATTTTTTTGCTTAAATTTATTCAATTTTTTATTTCAAAATAATAATTAAAAAATTATTAAACACTACAAAAAAATATACAGAATGTTCAAGATTTTTCCATATAAAATTTGTCTCTATATTCTACAAAATTAATTAAAATATTAATCATGTAACAAAAAATCCTTTAAAATACTTTATTAAAAAATTATAATAAAAGTATGAATTATAAAAATATGAAAGTAAATATGAAAGTTTCAAGAATATATATTTTATATATATATATATATATATTCTTAAACTTCAAATCTTTTTACTATTTTCTTTTTATTCTTTATATTAAAATGAAACAAAATGATTAAAATAGATAAATAATTTAATTTCATTGTAAAAATGTTATGCCGATATAAATTTATTTTAATAGGTTAAATTTCAAATCATATTAATTTATTAATTTTTATAAAAAATAAATATTTAATTTTTTTGTAATCTAAAAAAATTACTATTATTATTAATTTATATAATTTAATATAATTTATATATATTATATATAATATAATATTATTATTAATTAACAATGAACTTGTTTAAAGAATTCTAAAAATTAAACTTTATTAAATTAATTTATTCTTAACAAATTAATTTAATGATTTAATTCTTAACAAAACAAAAAAAAAAATATTTTGAGTTTAAAAAATTTCAGATTCCAGTTTGACGAATTCAAAAATATCTGATAATCTGTCTTTTAGCCTTCTGACTTAATATAATAAATCGTTTGATGATACTTAAAATTAAAATTAATAATTTCAAAAATTTACATTATATACATTATATACATTAATTTATTGTATATAATATTATGTATACAATGTATAATATATTATACATTAATATTAATATTAATATAATATTAATTTAGTTGTATTTAAAAGTTCACAATACTTTATATTTACTATTTATTATAATCTTAACAAAATATTCATGGATATATTGTTACATGAAATTTTAATCTTATTCTTATTCGCAAAATATATTGGCAACAATTATTAAAAAAATTTTAAACATTATAATGTATTATAATACACTAAAATTAATTTCTTTTTTTAAATCCAAAGTATATTTAATATCTAATACATTTTTTTTTCTCAATAATGAATCTATTTGAAGAACATTGAAAACTAAATTATTTAAATGAATTAATTATTGAAATAATTAATATTTTCTTAATTTTAATTTTTTCTATGAAAAAATAATTTTAATTTCTTAAGAATTATATCTGAAATTATTTAATTTCGATTATATTTATCTTAATTTTTTTATCTTAATTTTTAAGTAGATTTTTTTTTATTAAAACAGTTAATAAATCAATGATAAATAAATAAGAAAAAATTTGATGTTTTTGTCTTCCTTGTCATTTTATTCATTCATTTTATTTTATTCAATACTAAAAATTAATTTGATTAATGATTTTGCAAAATATTTTGAATATTTTACATCATATTTTGAACCGTTATAACAATTATTTCATTTATACTCTATACAGAATCTTTTGAATTAATTAAATGGAATTTCAGTATTTCTTTAATTTGAAACTTTTTGTTTTTTTAAGTTTTATGTTAAGATCTCAAAAAGTACAAATAGACGATTGACTTCTGTTCGAAAATATCTCAGAATATAAATGTTTTATTTTTATAACATTTTTATAACATTCAGCATAAATCAATAAACAATATTAATCTTTTTTGCATAGCTATATTTCATTCTGATTACAATTCTGTATTTCACACGATATGATTTTTTTGACTTAAATCGCAAATGACGAACAAAAAAAATTTAAACAAACATTCATTCATTCATTTCATCAAGAATCAAAATGACAATAAAGTACAATATAAAAGAAGGAATATGCAATTTGTGCACAATTGTCATA